AGAAGCACCTCAGGCCACTGCGAAATCATCGAAAATCAAGACGTAGCAGCAGCAGAAGCAGCAGCAGCAGGAGCAGCAGCAGCAGAAGCAGCAGCAGCAACAGCAGCAGCAACCCACGCAGCAGCAGCAGGAGCAGCAGCAGCAACAGCAGCAACAGCAGCAGCAGCAAAGCACCTGTTTCCAGCTTGGCGATGCAGAAGTGGTTGTCTTGCTGCTGCAGACGAAAGAGCGACCCACAGGCGCAACTCGCATACTGGGCAGCGCTGCTGCTGCTGCTGCTGCTGCTGCTGCTGCTTCTATTGCTGCTGCTGCTGCTGCTGTTGCTGCTCAGCGATTGTATAACCGTCACCTCTTCCCACGCTGCATCCGCAACTGAAAGTATCTGCTGTGCCGGTGTGTTTGCTGCTGCTGCCGCTGCTGCTGCTGCTGCTGCTGCTGCCGTTGCAGCTGCTGGGGTTGCTGCTGCTGCTGCACTCTCGTTGCGGCACTGCTGTAACTGCTGCTGCTGCTGCTGCAAGCGTGCGGGCACGAACTCAGCAGCATCTGGGTTCAATGCACAGCCTTCACCCGCCAGGCCTTGCTGCAGCCGTCTCTGCTGCTGCTGCTGCTGCTGAGAAGCAGCAGCAGCTTGAAGGTCTACGAGGGCCGGCAAGAAGGAGCACTGCTGCTGCTGCTGCTGCTGCTGTTGCTGCTGCGTTTGTAGTTGCTGTACCTCCAGGAGCTGCTTTTGCTGTTGCAGCTGGCGTTGCTGCTGCTGCTTCTGCCTCAGTTGCTGCTGCTGCTGCAGTTGCTGCTGCTGCTGCAGCAGCTGCTGCTGCAGGTAATGCTGACACAGCTGCTGCTGCAGCTCCGAGTCGTCTCGCAGCCAGTGCTGCCGTGCTTCTCCGGTTGCTCGTTGCTGCTGCTGCTGCTGTTTCTGCTGCTGCTGCAGCAGCAGCAGTTGCTGCTGGAGTTGCTTTTGCTTGAGCTGAAGTAGCCTCGCATCGCCTTGTTGCTGCTGCTGCTGCTGCTGTTGCTGCTGCTGCTGCTGCTGCTGCTGCTGCAGCGGGAGCCTGCCGGCTGCTGAGTAGCCA